GGAGAGGGGCGCGGGGGGATCCGGGGCGGATCCCCGGGGAGGGGGCGCTCGGTGCAGACCAGAGCGGAAAGAGGTGACGGGGGGGCCCGGCTGCGGTGCCGGCCGTGATGTTGGGGTGGAGGGGCCCCGTGTACGGCACACGTGGGTAGGGAAGTGATCGTTCCACCAATACAAGTGTTGATGATAGAGGCACAAGAGCCGTGTGTGCCCGAACATTCCCGGAACACCCATACTGAACCGGGCATTGTACACTGATCTTAACGATCACACCTACTGAGTCTGACATTGTACACTCATCTTACCGATCGCCCGTACTGAGCCTGACATTGAACATTCAACTTACCGATCGCCCGTACTGAGCCTGACATTGAACATTCAACTTACCGATCGCCCGTACTGAGCCTGACATTGAACATTCAACTTACCGATCGCCCGTACTGAGCCTGACATTGAACATTCAACTTACCGATCGCCCGTACTGAGCCTGACATTGAACATTCAACTTACCGATCGCCCGTACTGAGCCTGACATTGAACATTCAACTTACCGATCGCCCGTACTGAGCCTGACATTGAACATTCAACTTACCGATCGCCCGTACTGAGCCTGACATTGAACATTCAACTTACCGATCGCCCGTACTGAGCCTGACATTGAACATTCAACTTACCGATCGCCCGTACTGAGCCTGACATTGAACATTCAACTTACCGATCGCCCGTACTGAGCCTGACATTGAACATTCAACTTACCGATCGCCCGTACTGAGCCTGACATTGAACATTCAACTTACCGATCGCCCGTACTGAGCCTGACATTGAACATTCAACTTACCGATCGCCCGTACTGAGCCTGACATTGAACATTCAACTTACCGATCGCCCGTACTGAGCCTGACATTGAACATTCAACTTACCGATCGCCCGTACTGAGCCTGACATTGAACATTCAACTTACCGATCGCCCGTACTGAGCCTGACATTGAACATTCAACTTACCGATCGCCCGTACTGAGCCTGACATTGAACATTCAACTTACCGATCGCCCGTACTGAGCCTGACATTGAACATTCAACTTACCGATCGCCCGTACTGAGCCTGACATTGAACATTCAACTTACCGATCGCCCGTACTGAGCCTGACATTGAACATTCAACTTACCGATCGCCCGTACTGAGCCTGACATTGAACATTCAACTTACCGATCGCCCGTACTGAGCCTGACATTGTACACTCATCTTACCGATCGCCCGTACAGAGCCTGACATTGTACACTCATCTTACCGATCACCCGTACTGAGCCTATATTTGGACCGTTTTCTCAGACCACTTATATATACTGATCCCTATAACATTGTGCACTATTCTCCCGGATCACCCCATACCGCTCCATGTAAGAGACATTCAATAAAGCATTATGGCCACTTATCTGGCGTTATGGACCTTTTAAATGGTCCTGTGCCAATTTCTTACAAGCCATGTCACTAGTTTCAGGAGCTTTACTGACACTTGCGTCAGATTCAGGTAGCTCTTAAAACTGCCACTTTAAGTATGTGTCGCTGTGCCTGCAACTGATTCAACAAGTCTTACTGACTGTTTACAGAATGGAAAACTGGTAGTAATGGAAACCAGCTCTGATCTGGCCTTCTGAGAGATGTCGGTGCTCCGAGTGGGCATGTATGTAGTGGGAGCTGTCATTTTTATGATATTTTCTCGTTCATTGGTTACTTTCAACCATTTACACATCCCTGGCCCCATTCAGCTGCCAGCCAGGAGATGTCATGTCAGTCAGCATCCCCTGTCTCTTTACTTTCAGCTGTAAGTGGGGGAATCTACCGGACCAGCAGCTGAACGGGCACAGGGTTGAGTCACTGGTAGCTAAAATGCCTTCAGCCCCACAGCCTATTGGCAACCCATGTTCTGGCTAAGTGAGCAGATATTGTACACTGTTCTCCCGGATCACCCATACCGATCCATATAACATGCATTGTACACTGCTATCCCCGGATCACACATACTGATCCTTATACATTGTGCGCTGCTCCCCTGGATCACCCATACCTATCCATATAACTAGGGATGCACCAATACAGTTTTATTGTGTACTCTCCAAAACTGATCGCCCGCACCGGAACGCGAGGTACATGAATGCCCTGCGTTCCAGTGTTCTACGATCTGAAAAAATAGTGCATGCAGAGGTAGCGTGTGCTTGGCTAATCAGGAAGCCGGTTTTCTATTGCAAGCACGCTGGCTTCACGCTCCCTCACAACACTGCGAGGCAGCCTGGCTTCCTGATTGGTCAGGAAGCCAGGCTGCCTCGTGGTTTTGCTAGACCGCGTGAAGCCGGGAGGCGGGTCATGACATGCCACCTGGCTTCCTGATTGGTCAGCAAGCCAGGCTACCTTGCAGTGTCGCTAGGCAGCGTGAAGCCGGCTTCATAGCCATTGTGCACTGCTCCCCTGAATCCCCCATACTGATCCTTATAACATACATTGTGCACTGATCTCCTGGATCACCCATACCGATCCTTATAACATACATTGTGCACTGCTCCCCTGTATCACCCTGGTTTTCTATTGCAAGCACGCTGGCTTCACGCTCCCTCACAACACTGCGAGGCAGCCTGGCTTCCTGATTGGTCAGGAAGCCAGGCTGCCTCGTGGTTTTGCTAGACCGCGTGAAGCCGGGAGGCGGGTCATGACATGCCACCTGGCTTCCTGATTGGTCAGCAAGCCAGGCTACCTTGCAGTGTCGCTAGGCAGCGTGAAGCCGGCTTCATAGCCATTGTGCACTGCTCCCCTGAATCCCCCATACTGATCCTTATAACATACATTGTGCACTGATCCCCTGTATCACCCATACCGATCCTTATAACATACATTGTGCACTGCTCCCCTGTATCACCCATACCGATCCTTATAGCATACAATGTGCACTGCTCCCCTGTATCACCCATACAGATCCTTATAACATGCATTGTGCACTGCTCCCCTTTATCACCCATACTGATCCTTATAACATATATTGTCCACTGCTCCCCTGGATCACCCATACCGATCCTTATAGCATACATTGTGCACTGCTCTCCTGTATCACCCATACCGATACTTGTAACATACATTGTCCACTGCTCCCCTGGATCACCCATACCGATCCTTATAACATACAATGTGCACAGATCACCCATACCGATCCTTATAACAGAGATTGGGGAGAATTCATAAAAACTGGAGCAGACCGAAGCTGGAGTAGTTGCCAATGGCAACCAGTCAAGGTTTTTGCTGACTATTCCTAAAAAAAAATGTGTGGTTTTCATAATAATGCTTCATCACTTTTAGTAACGGATCTAAAACTTTTTATGTGGTTGCTGCATGCACATATTGAACCCAGACAGCTAATATTTTCAGAAGGTCAGTAATGGCAGCCACACTATTTCTCATGAGAAGAAACCTTGCTCTGAAAAAAACCCCCATGCCTGCACATACCTGTAAAAGCCTGCTGTTATGGCTGATCATGACTGTAGAATGCCGCAGTGAGGATTGGGCAAACCTCAAAGCTGTCATGATTTGCCTTATAGAACAGCACAGCATATATTGTAAATCAAGCTATTGGAAGCAGAGTTTTTTTTAAATTCTCATGCAGGACAAAGTAACAGGTTAACGGTAATACAGACCTCCACAGATTCATATGCTGTCATTCAGCCTCCAGGAGTGAAAGCAAAGCTCTGTGTAAGCATACCCGGAATTATGGGCATTTCCTTTCAGTTCCTGGTGTTAAAGGAGAACTATGAGGAGTGCTTTTCACTCACCTCAGTTCTAGCCGACCTGTGACAATGAGACTGTCACAGGTCGGTCAGTAGATCGGGAAGTGAGCGAACACATACCGGCGTTCGCTCACCTCTCGATCCTGTCACTGCTCTCTGCCGTGACAGGGGAGGGGCTGGATTCCTCCCTCCCAGCTCCGATCCGCCAGCGCTGACTGGCTAACACACACAGGGAGCATGGGGAACACAAGTAGCCACCCTCCAGAAGGAAAGACAGTGTCTGCACCCAGTGATACACAAATAATATACAGTTTTGTTAATAGAGTACGTGAATGTATTTGTAACATTTACTGTAGTATATCTGCTGCTAGAAAGCAGTAGATCTATGCAAAAACATAATAAAAAAAGTTACCAAATAGGTATTTACTTACCTGTGTCTCCGCCACCTGCTCCTGTCTTAAGATGAGCTGCCGTGCAGGCTGATGGCGTGGGTGCATGTGCAGTAGAGATCTTCGGCGGGGAGAAGTGGAAAGGCAAAGTGTAAGTGAATGCATGTATCGGGGAGCTAGCATGTCGGACAGAGATCATGGCACCTGAGGAGTCTGTGCTGGATCAGAGATCGGCACCAGCACCAGCCCTGGAGGGACTTCTGGAAAGAAGATGATCGGGTCAAGAGTCATCATTTAAGGGGAGTCCTTACAGCTACATTGACTTCAACTTTTGAGTTTAGTGTCACTTTAATCTGAGAATTGTCATTGAATGTTCTTTCAGCACACAGTAATTTGTACTGGTGTTATTCCATTGTTATTGATTTAGTGCCAAAACTCTGTAACATTGTGCACAGGGTCAAGACAACAAATGGCTGGAACACAGTGATATTAAACCATAATTGAATGCAATGATAATAATCTTGATAAAAGACGCTTTAGAGCCTTTTAGACAGCCATATTAACATATTACCTTGTATATAGCGAATGGTGCATGTTCATGAGAATAGTAAATAGTCCTTCCCCTTTTCTCAGGCTTACAGTAGTCTAAAAGATGATGAAAATACCCTTCATGTAGCAGACTTACACTAGATGGTACTCTGTCGAGGTTATTGGTATAATGATGGCTGTTTCCCAGGTAAAGTTTTGCCTGATCTTGCCTAAACCTGTCATCGGGGCCCAGTCACATCATATCCAGTGCGTCCCGTTGCAGTTTGCATCTGGAACGCACTGGATCGCATAGATCAAGCCGGGCAGTGTTCTGTGGAAGGGGGCAACTACCAGCATCCTTTTTTTTTTTTTTCCAATCCAACTGACCCTGGGGCATTTTCTACTTCATCTGATGCCCGTGCATCAATTACCCTCAAGTAAAATAAACTTGCTGACAAGTTTATTTCATTACAAGGAATAGTTAGGACTTTTGTTTAAATTAGGAAAACCCCAATGTATAAAAGGTTCAGTCATAATGGAAATTGTGTCTAAAAGACTGTAGGATTGCCTTGTAATATGTAAACTCAGGAGTTAAATCTTAAAAACAAATGCATTCAAGTATCTTAACTATTAATAAAATGTATCTTATTTGTGGATCCTCAAATTATCTATGAATTGGTAATGACGCTGTCCTTCCTTCTGGAGGGTGGCTACTTTTGTTCCCCATGGTCCCTGTGTGTGATGTAAAGTAGCCACCACTCCAAGCTCCCTCCTCCTGTGTTGGCCTACAATATCATGTTTAGTTTACTAATTTGTATTGAAGTTATAGTCTTATCACAGGAGCGAGCTTGGGGTGGTGGCTGAAATTAGTTGTGGCATATTGTGGTTTGCTAGAATGCTTTGGATTCTAATAATGATGTAAATATTATAAGTATGTGTCATTCATCAAATTATGTGTTTCAGTGAAGCTGTGGGATGTAACTGTTTTTGCATATAAAAGGCAGAGATATTCTCTGAGGTGCCAATAGACATAATTTCCACGAGCTTACTTTAGATGTCGCCGGCTTAAGCTAGGTTCACACCTAGGCGATTGCGTTGCTGAGTTGTTTTTGCACATTTTTGTTTGCGCGAATGTGCTTTGAGATGTCTTATATGACCCAAACCACAGGACACCGCCTGAAAATAGCTCCTGCACCTTTTTGCGCGACAGACGATTTTGGCCGCGAGATGCAACACAAAGGTGTGAAGAGGCCCCTTTGATTTCAGTGGGAATCTGTGTTAAATCAATGTGACTGTTGCCGATATAATTTATATTGAACTTATGTCATGTTATATTTCTCCAGCATACAGTTGTGTCGCAGCCTCAGTGAAAAAGGACAAGAAAATGTGACCTTCAAAGGTAAAAATTGTTCCTTTTGTTCTTTTAAGTTTTATAAATAGTTTGTATGAAATCCTCCCATGGAAATATGGCAAAGCAAGCTTTAAGAAAGACGGATAGCTGACATACCAAAATAACTCAGACTTGTGTGTGCATTAAAAAAGCATCATGGTTTCTGTCAAATTGCTTTAGGACGATGTAAAGAAGTAGCATACACAGTTTTTTTGGTGACTTGTCATAGATTACTCCAATATAGGACCAAGAAATGGCCTTCTACATACACATGCTGGTTAACCTGCTGATATGGTTTGGGCCTATGAAGAAGAGCTGGAACCACTGGCTACAGATTCCATTCAAAGATGAACTAGATATATAAAAGTAAAGCTTTTGTTTTACCTGGAAATCTTGTAGGGCTGCATAGATATTTGTTCTCCCTGTCTGTGCAGATTTGAAAAGTAGTTTACCCCACATCTCCTTCTGAGGCAGGGCCACTGTATAAATGAGTGACCATAATTTGGAAGTTGTCTTTGAGCTCCCATGATCAATATAGTGTAAATACCTCTTTGTTTTAATTACTATCTTGCCTGAGGAATTCAGGAATTATGGGTAACACTTAAATGGAATATTCCCAAATAATTTAATACCCTCATGAGTTACTTAAAAGGTGTCCCCTGGTGTTCAGCCTGCAAGTATATTTGTTGCCTACACCTGCTCTGTGACTATCTTTGCTCTACAACCTACCCAGCTCTGTGTCTGCCACACACGGTACACCATAGACTGTTCCCAGGTAAAAGTACATTTTAGTTGAGTTTAAAAAATGCCACTAATTACCATTATATATGTATTAAAAATGTTATTTTTAGATTGGTATAATCACCCAAATTTGTCTTTAAAACCCGCCTCCTATCAGAAGTAGGGAAGGGGGGGGTGGGGTGGAAGGAAACTCGGGCTCAACTCTCATGCACTGCCTATATCTGGCCATGGAAAACATTGGTTGTATGCAGGGCAATCTGCATTTGGGGTTATACATCCGTGCACATAATTGTTTATGCAAATACCAGTGTACTGCCGCAAGTAGACATTGATTTCTATGGGCAGCTGTACGCAGCACCCGTGGTTCCCACGTGGGTAAATGCACCAAAATGTAACATTGTACCTCCCCAGGTGCAGGTGTGCATGAATCCTAAAGTTCACCTTTTAGTTTGATCTCAGATTGTTTAGCATTTTTAGATGATCATCGTGTTTTCACAACCTTATTTTTTTACTAAAATAGTGTGGGGTGACAGTATGCCTAAGTGTGTGTGGGTTTTTTTTGTTAAATATTCCTCCTTCTGCATCGTGTATCCTTTGGGGACGATGCTGTGAGATTTCTCCACAATGGAGTTTTGTTGTGCCATTTTTAAAGTGGAGCTCTAGCCATAACATATACTATTTTTGGATCGATTGGTGAGGGAGTTACATACTTGGTCAGGGTTTTGTTGAAGTGGGGCACGTCTCCCTAACTAGCACACAGCAGTAAAAGCCTGACTAAAGTTTTAACCCTTTAAAGCTTCATCTAAAACAAAATAATGAGTTGTATGGTTGAAGATTCACGTTGACCTTTTTGCAGCTGCTCCAGCAAGTCTAAAGTTAATGCTCCTTCTGCATTCTCCATAGTGTAAAGTTAAAAAATAAAAAACAGGAAAATGAAGCTCCCCCTCCTACCTCCCTCTTGTAGTGACTGTGGCAGATTAAAATTGACCAATGGAAGAAACTTGCCAGCATTTAAAAAGTCATGTAAAGGTTGGACCCACCCAAGCATGGCTTTTGTTTGAAGAGTTTTTAAAGCCTTTGTGTTTTTTATTTACACTTTCTGAAATGTCTCAAGTTCATGGCTTTCACTAAACGGCTGGTTGGCTCTTCTTTATAGGTTGTGTGTAACTAGTTATAGTAATCCTATGCAATCTAATCCAGGATCATCCTTGTAGTAGAATGTATGTATATGGTCAAATATAACAGAAGGGATACTGTTGACATTAGCAAAACCTACTGTGGATACCGGAATGGTGACTTTTATATTTTAATGTGGTAAAGCATTTTAATTTTTTTTTTTTTTTTTTTTTTTTTTCTTTCCAGAAACCCAGCAGGTTCTTTATGAGCTTGCTTGCCAAGTAGTTAAAGGAAATCTGAAGCAGGAACAAGCTGCCGTGGTTTTCACAGATATCATAGTAAGTCCTTTATTACGTCCTCTTGACTTGTTAAGAATTTTTTTTTTTTTTAAATGATGGGAAAGAGAAAAGTAAATGGGTTCATGGTAACATACCTGAATTTTTGGGCAATACCTTCATTCTTCTTTCCTGCTACATTGACAGACTCCAGTTGGCCATACATGGATTGTATTCCCTGCTGGATCAGCAGAATTGTGATCAGTGGGTGGCTCTGCTGGCACCATCAATTGACTTTTGTGGAAGGAGCCTGGTGGAAAATTGTCAACTGAACAGCCACTACTGCAAATCACATGTAGTCACTGTTCGTGTCTAGGTGCCGGCAGTCAAAATACAGTAGCTGTCAGGGAGGACTCCTCCTCCATCCCTGTTGTTTAGCATGGATAAGGGGCGATTAAAAGTATTTTCACGTTCAGCTTAGCGAAATGAAATCCTTTGTGTGGGGTCAACGTGGAGGTGTATAGGATGACTTTTATCAAGCAAATCAGGCTGCCTGTCATTTAGCAAAGTCCATGCTACAGTTTTTGTTATATTTGTGACCTCTGCATCTGTAATCCAGGGCAGCCAATTGCAGCAGATTAGCAAAAGTCTGAGACAGATTTAAAAGAGAACTATGAGGTGAGTGCTTTTCACTCACCTCATAGTTCTAGCCGACCTGTGACAATGAGACTGTCACAGGTTGGCTCAGTAGATCGAGAAGTGAGCGAACACATACCGGCGTTCGCTCACCTCTCGATCCTGTCACAGCTCTCTGCCGTGACGGGTAGGGGCTGGATTTCCCCCTCCCCGCTCTGATCCGCCAGCGCTGACTGGCCGAACGGACGGAGGAGGGGGCGGGTACAGCTGGCTCTGCCTCTAGATAGGCAGAGCCAGCTGTCACTCGCGCAGCTGGGCGGATCCAGACATAATTGTCCTGATCCGCTTCAGCTGCGGCATCTCAGTAGCCCGCGGTGTACTGTGGCGTCTCGGTATACCGTGAGCTGTAGCTCGCGGTATACTGAGATTAGGGTGATGGGAGGATGCTAGTTTGTGTCCTCCCGTTACCCTAAGGAGAACTATGGGGAAAAGCCTTAACCCCATAGTTCTCCTTTAACACTGTAGATGAGACAGATTTTTGTACTCTAAACAGACCTACAATGAAGACGTTATCAAGGTCAGGTTTCATTCTGTCACAAGGCTACTTTAGAGCAGTGGAGGAAGGAATTTATGAATCAAACTGTAACCTTGTAGTATATCTGTCTCACTGCCCATGTTTAGCATTGTCTCGCTGTGCGACAGAAATCATTCATGTGCCTTGTGGATTCAGGTTTTGTACACGGTCCTGAATGTCTTTTTTATAGTTTTTCTTTAATAACTATAATTTTTAAGAAAGATTGTATGAGTTACAAAAATTAATTCCAGACTATCTCTAATTGTTTGTTTTAGGATCAGACATCACAGTGGCGTATTTACAGTTTGTGTATGGATAGTATTATTCGGTATAACAATACAGTAGTCATACATAATAGTCCCTTCCTTTTAATTGTCTCTCCTGGAGATGCAACGGGAAATGAGACAAAATCTCTCAAAAGTAAACAGAATTTACATCGTCACATTTTCCCTTACTTCTTACTCTGTTGATCGCTCTAAAATTTTGGATTTCCCCTCACTTTCTGTCTCGGTAACGATAGTTACCAGGACAAATAGAGGGTGAATACTGTAGAGACTTGACAAAGGATCTAACCATCCCCTACTCTATTCAAAAAGGACAGGAAATGGGTCACTTTGGTTCATGTAATGGTAATGACGCAAATAGTTCAAATAATTGTGTTTTTTTTTTTTTTTTTTTACCCAGGATATGCGAGAAGACATGCCTTCGATTTTGGCAGATGTATTTTGTATTTTAGGTAAGTGCCGTGTAGCACGTCTCTTAAAGTGGACCTTTTCCCCCTTGGACTAAAAATCACATTGGCGTACTGCTCTGCATGCAGATATGAAATAGTCTTACATTCATAAGTTAAACAAACCTATATTTTTCTTATAATTTCTTCTTTTATACTTCCTGGTCCTCTTTGGCAAACATGATGTGATCGTGCCCAAGTGTTGCATCCTGGGAAGGATACATAAGCAGAGCATTGCTGGGAAATCTCATGTGTAATCTCATGATGTCTCAGGGAAAGGTCTTTTCCTCCCCTGAGATGATGTGCATGGTCACATGTCATAGTCACATGTGCCAGAGTTCCAGGAACTAAAGGGAGATGGATTCATCTGCCCTTAGTGAAATGATTAGGGATGAAAAGAAAAATAAGGAATTCAAACAATAAAGCATGCAAGTATCTAGAAGTATATGTTTGTAGATTGTCATTACTAAACATTCCTAAAGGTGTCTTTTGTTGTTATTTTGAAGATAAGGGTAAAGTTTCTTCGGGCTATGGACCCGCTGATCGCCTATATGTGAAACACCCGGTACCGGGTGTTCGCATTGGACGGGTCTTTTCTGCCCGTGCGTGCCTGCTAGGGGGCGCGCGCGAGCAGAAAGAAAAAAAAACCCGCCAATGCAGCAGTGCCGTCCGTCCGTTTTTCTACTACGGGCGGACGGCAAGAGGTTAAAGGAGAACTATGGGGTTCTGTCTTTTCTTTCTTATTGCATTCCTTGGGCTAAATAAGTAAATTGTGTAATTTACTCCTATTAGCCAAAATGCACCCTAAGCCTGTAAACCCTTCTTTAAGAAGGTGGGCGGGGCTAACCGCCGCAATGAGGAGAGATCCCGATAATGCTGCCGGTATCCTCCCCACTGATCTTCGTCACTGTGACTGACAGTGATTCTTGAGAGCTGCTGCGCGTCCACGAATATATGGACGTGCGCAGCAGCTCTGTGCACACAGCTCTCTCCTTACCTGCACGTCCCCGTCCTCTGTGCCAGCCTTCCAGACACGCTGCTGTGTAGCCCTTGATCCCCCTCTATCTGCCCCATACCTAGTGGGTACTGGTACCTTGTGGCGTGCAGCCGGCTAACAAGTCAGGCATGCAGTCACTGGCCATGTACATGACTTGGCGGAGCAGGTAAAGGGGGAGCATAGCTGCTCCTTGTGGTGCCCACACTCTGTTCCTTTCTACTGGAGCTCTGACAGCCTTCACTGAGCACTGGCTGAAAGAATGGATTAGTAAGGCCTGCACCAGCCAAAGGTGCAGACCTTTCTAACCAACCACTGGATCACCAGGGATTGTGCCTCCTTCCTGCAAATTGTAAGCAGGTGATAAAAATGATTTAAAATCTTTTAAAACGTTAAAAAAAAAAAAAAAGTAATTTTTGGTTTCAGTTTCGGCCTGACAAAATATTTATTTTCTGTCTAAAAAATTTCATTTTGATATATCCCTAATCTGTACCCCATACTGTAGTCCAGTGCAGCCCTGCCCTATAGATTCTGAATTTTGCTCACAAATTGCGAGCACTCGTTGGTCAGCGAGGTCACCTGCTGTCGAGAAATTCTGTTGCCTATCATCACCCTAATATAGCAGAAAAACTTAAAGGTGTACTATGGGGCAACCTTTTTTACCCAGAGTTCTCTTCGGTGTCATGGGAGGACATATGCGAATGTCCCCCGGTGACCCAAAACTCAGTATGTACTCTAGACAATACTCCATTGGCTTATTGACAGCGGGCTCTACCTCTCTAGAGCCCGCTGTTCCTGCGCCCTCCCCTGTCCATTCCTTCAGTCAGCGGCAGAAAAATGGAGGGGGAATCCCTGCATGGATCGGTGACTGATGGCCACGGGTCTCTCCAGGGAGAGTATTGGGTTATCAGCCGTGTGTTCGCTGACTTCCCGATCAATAGCTGACCTGAGGCAGCTTCAACCTGCAATGAGAGCAGTATTTTTGGGGCTTCAACCTCTCCTCCAGTTATGGAGTTCTGTCTGCCTTGTTAACAGATGGAACTCCATGGAACATGGCAGGATTTACACCCCACCTGCATTTTATGAATGGGTACGCCACAAGTCTTATGGAGTAATATTGCATTATCCCCCGGATAACAGTATCTGTCGGGTGGGATTTTTTTTTCCCCCCTTCAATGTGAAGGAATTTTTACTTCCTGTTGTCTCTGGGGACAGTAAGTGCAGAGAAGCCTCCCGGATGAGGACACAAAGGGCAATAAATATCTGATGAAGGTTTTAAACCTTTTTGTTCTTCTGGAATTGTCCTTTAAATACCCACATGTAAGGAACCGTTAATTTCTGCTGAAATGGAAGATCAGCCAGTCTAATCTTTAATATTTCTAATTTAATGTCTTCTGTTGCTTTTTATAGTTGTAACGGAGTAACAATATAGTTTTATTATTTTCAGCCTTAAGCTTGATTGTATGTATTTCTTGCAAATTCAGATATTGAAACGGGCTGCTTTGAAGAAAAATGGAGACGGGATCATTTTACCCAGCTGGTCTCATCTTGCTTGGTAAGGGAAATCTTTCTTCCTTTTTTTTTTTTCTCCAGTAACTTTATTAAAGGTTTTATTTTTTGGTAAATTAAGAAATATTGTAAAACTGTTCTTCATGCGTGTTTGGAAACTAAAGCAGTTTGAATAATGTGTTGGAAGAGCTAGAGACCTACAGGATTCCTAAGCAGACTGTCTTCTCCTGTTAAAATAGGAAGGCTACATTTTACAGTAAAACAGTAAACATGCAATGAAACACATTAAGGATGAACACTTAGGTCATATGATTTAAAGCCTTTGACACTGAAGGTCATTTTCAAAATTAGGGTCTAGATGAAAAGCAGTCTGTCTTTTTTAAAAAGAGGGGCAGTAATAATCGTTAGATATGTGCAGTCATGGCTGCAACCAACTAACCGATAATGAGAATAGTTCACAACTATTCTCATTATCAATTAGTTGGCTGGATCTCCTAGCTCTCTCCTCCATGCTGGGAGGAGGGCACAGCAAGCAGTGGGCAGGTACAATAGCCAGCCTGCTGTTGGCTATTGCAATTTGAAATAGCCAATATCAGGCTGGCTATTACAACAGCCCACTACCTGCTGTATGTACATTCAGCTTGCAAAAAATTGTGCATGCAGTTTTATTCTTAAGTAAAACCTTGTTTGTAACACTGCATATGTGTATTTTATTTTCAATTAAGGATGATATTTAGTTTTTTTTATCTGAGTAATTGAAAAAATAATTGGTTAACTAATCGATTTATGAAAATAATTAGAGGTGCACCGAAATGAAAATTTTAAAACCGAAATAAAAAAAAAATATGTCAGGCCGATACCGAAAATGTTTTTTATTTTTAATGACAGGCATCGCTGCCTGTTTTTAAAAAACGGCCATTTCCCGCTCGCCGAGCGGCGCGCGCGGGGGGGCGTGTCTGAGCAGACGTCTAAAGACGCCCGCTCAGATCTAGAGAGCTCGGGCCGGCCGGCCCGGAGGTGGTTAAAAAAAAAACATGTTTCTGGATAAAGTTTGTAATTGTGTACATAAAGGCAGCCTTACCTTATTTTCGCATTTACAAACTGTAATCTTTCCCTCTATAGTGCTGCACAATGGTTGTGTATTACTGCTCGTTGGTTGACTCATCGTAAAAATTATTATTTGCACAATAAAGGGCAGCAGAGTTATTGGAAATTGATTGCTCCCTTCTATGGCTCATCTATATACCTTTTTATGTTTTATGCAATAACAAAAATATGGAAGAGTGCAAAATCTGAAAAGTAACATAAAAAATAACCTAACGTAAATATTGCAATAACTTGTTTTTCTGTTCCGCACCATTCCACCAGCTGCTAAACTGCCTTGCAGCAGGTAATTTGGTTTTACGGGAATTCTGCCAGGAATGCTCTCCCATGTGGTCTGCCTGGCCTCTCCAGTAAGTACCGTCTCCTCCCTGGAGCTACGGTATTCCTTCCAAGCCCTCTGCAGTCCTCTTGGACTCCATTCTGCACTTTTGCCTATTGCAAAAAACCCTTTGGCTGACTTGCTGTCATAGACTGGGTTCTGGGCAAGCTAGTGTATAATGCTGCCTTTTACTTTGCAAGATGTAAAGGGGGCAGTTTGAGTTAATTGCATTGCGTTAATTCTGTTTCCTTAAGATCAGGGATCAATGGCCTACTTTTACTTATAGCCTGGGCTTGCTCTTTAAATTGTAAAGAAACGGCAGAGCATCACACAATCTGGCAGCTTGAATAATTGTGTCTGTGTCCACCCACTCCATTTTGGGCTAACTGACAGAAATGCTCGCAAAGAGCTCAGCATTGAAAGCTTGCATTTAATCACTGTAGCGGATTTGTTTTTCATTTCTGGACTGAAATATCGGTTATGATGTGCCGAGGGGGAGGAATGGATATGAAGAACAGCCAAACTCAGACTCCTTTACTTGTTTTCTCACTTGGTGCCACAGAAAGTTAATTTGTTAAAGGCACCATGTGAGGTGAAAAATAATGCAATTAAGGCCTCGTTCACACTGTAATCGGCCGGCACGTTCAGCTCCGTGCTGTGTGTAGGGCCGTATTGAGCCACTTCTGGGAAGGACAGGTGCTGCATGTGATTAGTACGCAGCCCCCATCCTTCTTTATGGGACTACACGGCCGTACGCCTCCCCCCACGCTCACCTCAAGTGCAGGTCCGTAGGGGGTGCGTGTTTCCTGGCTCGGACGCGGACAGGAACCATCCTGTCACCTACACGGATGTGTGAGCATAGGGGGCGTACGGCCGCGTAGTCCCATAGAGAAGGACGGTAGCTGCGTACTAATCATCACCTGTCCTTCCCGGGAGCTGCCCGATACGGCCCTGCACGCATGATGGAGCTGTACGTGACGGCCTATTACAGTGTGAATCAGGCCTGAAGGTGCCTTGGTTATTTCATCTGTGTCCCTGAATCACTACATGACTCGGTATATTGTGTATTCTTTTGATGGGTACCTTTTTTTTATTTGCACTTTGTTCCCTGACCGGGTCAATTTAAACTAGAATGGTGCTGGTTTTTTTTTTTGGCTTTCTTCTTCAAAAATTAAAATGTAAATCCAACCATTTTGGTGTTTGTCATTTCAGTAAGTCTCTTCCACCATGTAGTAACAATTTTCTACTTCTTTTACAGTATCTAGTATCTGACAGCATTCTTAAGGAACGCTTAGATCCCGAAACACTGGAATCCCTTGGGCTCATTAAACAATCCCAACAGTTCAACCAGAAGTCTGTAAAAATAAAGACTAAACTTTTGTAAGTTTTGTAATATACTTTCAAGTCTGGATGTAAAATTTGTATATAAATATTGTGAAAATAAGTTTTACTGGATGGTGATGTGACCTTGAAGAGGTCTAATGATCCAAAACTGTGTGGGGAGGAGGCAGAGGTTGTGTTGAACACCGTGCTTTCCTCCTTTCTCCAAAATTCATGATTCTGTGAAAACATTTTTAGATTTAAATCTGATGTCTATGCTGCAGAAAGGGACAACAAAAGCTGCAGGCCAGATTAAACACACCCACACTTGAACATCTCTCAGCTCGAGACACAATCGGGCAGTCATAAATCCCACTACACCATTCTAGGATCTGCACATTCTGGTAATGAGCCTGGTCCTAAATGGCTATTGTAAACAATATTTAGTAGATGCTAGAAAGCCAGGGACTTTTAATACAGCCCATCGTAAATAGTCAGGAGGAATGCACATTTCAGACTGGGACTAGTGATGCATGCTAACACATAGAGTACCTGCTCAGAGTTCAGTGTCATACGATTTCCATGATTTAATTCTACAATGGCACTACTTTAATAAGCGTTTACCCCAATATATAAGAGTGACTTTCAGTTTGATACCAATAGCTACGAATAGCTATTAGTACAGAAGACAGATTGGCCACATTAAATATTCAAAGTGATATATGCATTTGCTCTCATATTTGGTGTTTATCAAATCCAAATCTTATTCCTAAACTTATGTAATAAATGTAATAATAGGTTAACAGTAGGGATGCACCGATACCAAGTACCGTACTCGGTACAAGTACAGATACTTTTCAAGCTCCAAGACTAGAGGAAAAACTCAAAAGTTAGGAGGCAGCTTTCATTTGTAAGGAGCACACGGAGCTCCTTGGCTTTGTACATCTCTGTTTTAATGTATGATTTTGTCTTTATTAATATAAATAAAGGGATACACCGATACCATTTTTGCAAGTACTGATACTTGTCCAAGTACTTACAAGTACCGATACATTTTTGTTTATTGTCATGTGACAGTTTTTCTAAAACAATACAGACTAATGATTTCAAGACAGTGGTGGAGCGCCAGAGCCAGGTCCCAGCAGCAACCCTGATAGTTCTCATGAAAATGCCAAGTATCGGCACTGGTACTCGAAAAGTATCGGTGTATCCCCAGATAGTAAAATCAGGCCATCTGAATACTTGTTATAAGGGAGTGTCCATTGATGTATCGAACACTTTAGCACTCCTACATCACCCCTGTCGACTCTTTTGATTGTGTGGGGTTTTGCTCAGTAACTGGTAGAATGTCACTTGCACTCCAAATACTTTCATATTATGTTATGTGGCACTTGATCGTTAATAAAGAAGATTGACTACAAAAGTATTTGGAGTGCGAGTGACGTTCTACCAGTTACAGTTTTTTAGATGCCGAGGCATCTGCGGTCACTGCAGCACCCCTCCCGCACCTTGGTCAGGAGTGCAAGGTGATCTCCATATTCTAAAAAGGGTTTTGCTCAGTGACACCCTCTGGAGGGTCAAGAAAAACCTGCTGCAGCTCAAAGCTCTTGTTTTATGACCAAAATTATGTAAGCGTGCTAAGGGTCCTCCATGAGAGCTGATGACCCTAATACATCAGATTAGATTTCCTCTGCTGAAACCAAAGACCAGGAGAACTTTGCTAATTGCTTTTCACTTTTAATAGCATTTATTTTGCTTGTAGTATACTTTGGTAATATCTTTTTTGCCAATGTTTTATTGCACCTTTTTTCTTTTCTTATTAAAGCAATATATAATTGTTAAGCTAAATGCTCTAGTCCAGAATTTTAGAGAATCCCTGCCTCTTCGAAAGCTACTATATTTTCGACTCTGTTATTTTCCTGTCTGGTGTAGCAGCAAGTGTCCATATTTCTTAAGGAAAGCAGATACTATGAGTTGTGTGTGTTTTTGTTTAAAAAGTGGTGTCCGCTACCATTTGGTGTGTAAAGGGTTAACTGTGGCGTGAACTGACCCCAGTGATGATCACCCTTAGTCTGCTGGCGCTTAGATTGTTGTCCTGTGAGCTGGAAAATGTCTGTTCAGGGTGGGGCTGGAAGTGTGTTCGTCACATGGCTTGCTGTTTTCTCTGTCTGGAAGCCACCCCTAAAAAATGCTATGCCTCATTGCTCGAGTGCCTGACTCAAGCTGAAGAGTCAAACACTATGTAAGTAAATAAAGCTAGGTAAAGGGGCATATCTAGGTCTTCTACAAGTAAGCCTGCACTATGAAAATACTTGGAATACTGTACTCAGATTAACGTACGAGGCTGTATGTTGTCATACGGACACCCGAACCACACGTACAGCCACGTCCTCCAATAGGGAAGAACGGGCTTATGCACGCAATCACACCCAGCACCTCCCGGGATTGGCTGTTTACAGGAGTGCACGCCACAGGGATGTGTACGCCCAGTGTGAATGAGGCCTTAGTCTATTAATTGTATTGCCATATGGTTAAGGCAAAGGCAGTTGATGTTGTTTTTTGTTTTAAAATAATTAAGGACAGAGGTCACTGGCTTAAATGACTATTCTTCTAAGTCGGGGTAGGCAAATTCCAGCCCTCCAGTGGTCAAGCTACAAATCTCGTCATGCATTTGGCTGTCAGTCTTGCAATGCCTAATGGAATATATAGTTGTACCACAGCTGGAGGGCTGTAGTTTATCTACCCTGTTCTAAAGGTGCCCATACACCTTACGATTATCTGACGAGACTTTTTGTCCAATGATCGAACCGTCGTATGATTTTCGTACGACGGCCCCATCCTGCCCCGATTTATCGAAAGGTTCAATCAGCGGTAGTTAAAAAAAAAAAACACCTGGACGACTTGCGGTAATTGACCGCAATTATTTTCGTTTGCGCAAGCGCTGTGTTAATCGTACGACTTTTGACGGACGGAAACGCCACCAACCATGCGAACATCGTACGATCGACCAAAGTTTTCAAACATGCTTGACCGTCAAAAGTCGTACAATTGTACAGTACTATCGGTCGGGCACTCTAATCACACTTAGAAAAGTCGATGGCATACGATTATTGTACGATAATCGTAAGGTGTATGGGCACCTTAAGGTGTACACATTTATTTTTAATTTTCAGTGTTTGTTCTTTTGATCTTCTTTTTTTATATTTTTTTTTTTTCTGTCATAAGTTTTGTACTGGCAGATGTCACTTTTTATTAGACCTGGTTTCTAACCCTTCCCCACTCTACATTCGTATAGAACTATAACTGCTTGGGCAAGAAAGTAAAGAAATTATTTGCTGGTCAATGTATATTTGTTGGACCTGGATTTGTTATTAACGAAAAGTTTGAGTTTAATACTACTTTAAATTTATTTTGGTGCACACAAGCAGAATATAATATTTTTTTTTTGTGAACAATATAGAAGATGGGTTTGTGTTGGCTAAATAGAGTCCAAACATGTCAAACCGTAATATAGCACACCCCCATGAAATGGCAAAAATAAAAAATGAACCTACAATACCCACATATGTCATACGTTGCTGGCAAGGGGCCCCTTTAAACAGACTCCCGGAGGCTTTAGCGGGCAGAATTTTTTTTACTGGTGTAAAGCCGACTGTAAGTGTCCTTACACTGGAAGCAATACTGGCGGCTGAGCTGCCACCAGATCGCTTCCAGGGGCCGGTATAGTGTGCGCCCCTGTCCGACACCCCCGCCTTGCTTCACTGCCCCTCCTGCAGGCCTGCAATTTACACAGCACATTCATATCATTCCTGGCCCTCAAGGAGCTTACAATCTAAGGTCTCTATCTTGCATTGATACATACAGGGTGCATTTAGACCGGAACCAATTAAATGAGAACTATGGGGTTAGGGCTTTTCCCCATAGTTGTCCGAAGGGGAACGGGAGGACACAAACTAGCGTCCTCCCGTCACCCTAGGCTCAGTATACAGCTGAAACGGATCCGGACAATTATGTCTGGATCCACCCAGCTGCGTGAGTGACAGCTGGCTCTGCCTATCTAGAGGCAGAGCCAGCTGTACCCGCCCCCTCCACCGTCCGTTGTTCCGCCAGTCAGCGCTGGAGGATAAGACAGGGGAGGGGAGAATCCACTCACTCTCCTGTCACGGCTCTCTGCAGTGACAGGATCGAGAACTGAGCAAGCGCCGGTATGTGTTCGCTCACTTCCCGAGCTACTGAGCCGACCTGTGGCAGTTTCATTGTCACAGGTCGGCTCAGATGATGAGGCTGAGTGAAAAGCACTCGCCTCATAGTTCTCCTTTTAACCTTTCCATCATGTCTTTGTAGTGTGGGAGGAAACCGGAGCACCCGGAGGAAACTCTCACACAAGCACAGGGAGAACATGCAAACTCTTTGCATTGTGTCTTGACCGGTATTTGAACCCTCGGTGTGCTAACCACTAACCACCGTGCTGCTTGGTGAATGCTAACAATTGGATGAAAAATACAATACCAAAAACCTGCCTGCTGCAACATGTGTGGTCTTGGTATAACCACTTCATGGCTGCACTGTTTATATATTTATTGTGGCCCTGAAGTGGTTAAAATGCACAGCAGGTATATAACACAATGCAAGCTTTCATGTGTCTTTGGGAATTCTATGGAATATAACTGACCATTTATGAAAATGGTTAACCTGGAAATGGCAATATTTCTTTTTTTTTTTTTTTTCCTACATTCAGTTTGTTACATTTCATTTTTAGCAGTTTTGCATTTTTGCAGGATGCTGATCCACAGATTTTCGACGGATAAAGAAATAAAAAACAGCTCTAAGGCAGCTGGATCTGCTTGACCTTTCTTATATGATGCGGCTCCAACCTCCAAAAACCTATTATTTTCAAAGGCCAGAGTTGCATTACTTACACTTTCTTCTAGCAGCCTTGAAACTGTTTGCTGAAATGACATTTTGAATTTGACTGGTTACAGACAAATAGGTCTTTCTTACACTCAGGTGAATGAGGTTTGTTGCTTCCACATTTTCTAAGTAGTTGACAAGCATCTGAC